AGGAATGCTTGTGCCTACATGTTCTTTCCAACTTTGCTTCTGTGCAGAGGGCAGCACAACATGTGCAAATCTCATCAAAGAATGTCAGTAGGGAAATCCAAAGGGAAGAAAAAAGGAAAATAATCACAGCATCAGGATGGCTGTCTCAGTTGGAAGACCTAACTCTGGCCAGATTTAATCACAACATGTATAATTTGAAGTGATATACACTGTATCCTGCTGTCTTAAAGCAATTGCTGTTGAAGATCACTTCTGTGGAGTTTCTTCAGCTTTATACATGTGCACCTGAGAGCAAGATATGCCTGGGAGCTGCTCACTGCAGTTCTCCCAATACATAGCGTGGTGTTGCTGTGTAGCAGTGACACTGAGGGGCTTGTTTGGGATGTCAGTGCCACTCAGATTGCTCATGGTCTGCGTTCACACCCACCCCCCTCATTCTGTAACTGCTAGCAGGCAAATGGCAAACCTGGCAGGTGAAGGTGCCCTTAAAGTTGAAGGAAAACTTTGGAAAATATTGGAAGTTAATGCAGTAAGAAGAAAAAGGGGCTGCCTGTAAGACTTACTGAAGCTACAGCTAAGGGAACAAATAAGTCTTCTGCACTAGCAAGACCCAGCGGAAACAACAAAATCTCATTTGAGGAATATAATTTCTTCATCCCTTGATTGAAGACAGGTTCAGTCTCTCTATAATCCTTGGTGGCAAAGTGCAGATAGCTCTCATTTCCAGAATATTATTGCAGTGCTGGGTCAGGAACTCTGTCTTCATTGTCTTAATTAGAGCTTTACTTATGCATGCCTTTTAGATTTTGTCAGTCTCTGGCTAACATAGCTTTTAACCTCCTTTCAATGTCAGATCCTACTGAACCATTTCACTTTACATCAATTTTTCCACCATTACAGCCTTCACTTCAGCTAACTTCATTTAGCTAATTTGATGCCATTTATTTGTACAATGCCATTTATAGTCAAAGTATTATAAGTTTTTTTTTTCCCTGAAACTACTGTACTTGTCTTAAGATTCAATTGAAAGTGTCTCAGAATTTAAAAAGTCCAATTTTGTCTAATTTCCTTGTCATTCTCATTAGGCAAAAGGGTTGCAGAAGTGGGAAGGGGGATTCATCTCAACACATTTGATTAATCTGCACGTATGCAACAGAGAACACTAAAGCGAGAGGCTGTGCAGGTCACGCAGTGCCCTCCCTTCTCCACTAGCCAGTAGCATATTTATTGCCCAATTATGCAGAGCCATGAGTTAGATGCTACAAGACCAACCAATCAATTTCCCAGGGTGATATTTCTGGAAAAACTGTGTGTGAGCAAAGAGATGGCTATAATCTCCAGCTCCTGCTGGAGAGGAGGAGGGCATGGAGATACATCCATCTGGGAAATTTCACTTATGATACCTTTCTGTGGTAGGTGGTCCCTGTAACTACAAACAGGAATAATGTGAGGTTTGTTCATGACTGTGCCACTTGGTAAGTGATACATGCAGAATATTTGGTCATTCAGATTTTTTTTCTACCCCAGATGATGGTTATCCAAAGGCAAGTCAGGGGAAGGGAATATCTTCAATTCCTTATAAGAAATGATCTTTATTTCCCAACAGAAAGGACAATTGTGGTCAGTTGTGGCTACATATAACAGATTAGGTTGCCTAGAGAACCCTCTTTGTGACTCTACATATTTTAGGTATAATTCACTCTCCTATGGTTTTGGAAGGCATGTTGGTATCAAACAGAACAACCTCTTCTCATGTAAAAATGCTAAATCATGAACTCATGATTACCTGTGTGGTCTTGAATTGGCCCGGTTTTGCTGGTCAGGATTGCCCACTTTAAATCCACCTGGTTGTCGTGCTCCCAGTGGCACAAAGTCTTTTGGGATCCCCAGCCAAAGGCACAGTTGAAGTTGTATAGTGGCAGCTCTGCAAGCAAAGTTGGACAAGGAGGGACAAAATATGATTATTAATTGCTTAATTCAGCTTTTGTACTTCAAAACCAAATGCATGCATTAGACCATTAACAGAACCATTCCTACTTGAAACTCTGAGGAGCCATAGCAAGAGCAGCCCTGCTGGGAAACAGATGAAGAATGATGATTTCTAGTAAATGATGTGGTTGTTTCTTGTCTCTTTATGATCCATATTTTGGAATTTTTTGTGGTTAGATTAATTCGTCTGATTTGCCTACATTAGCTGATAACTGTGCTGTAACACAAATGACTCAAAAAGAAAGCTCTGGCTTACTTATCAGATATGTTTTCTGGTTGTTAATATCTATTTGTACCATAATGGTGCAACGTTTTGCAACAACTCACAATAAGATCTGGACAAAAATAAGAAAGGACAGAAACACTAATGGAATGTCCTTGGCAGGAAAGGATTTCTGATGAAATAGTATAGTACGTGGCTTCAAGAAGGAACTTATTTCAGCATCTTCCAGACAGTTAAGCAGGCCCACAAGATGGCAGCATTGAAATGGACAAATTGAGACAGAAAAGGGACAAATGTGGCTGATTGCCAAATGAACTCAAAATAAGCTTCAAAACAATCTCCACATAAAACAAGGGAAGTCTAGTATTATGGTCAGGATGAGATCATATCTTGTTTTCAGCTTCTCTTTAATTCTGCCCAAAGGTTTAATACATAGTAGCTTATTTTCTTCAATAGAACTTGGAATTTGAATGGAAAGATTATACAAAGATAGCATATAAATCCCTTGCATTTTTTATTTTCAGAAGCAGCTTGAAATCTTTTGGGCTTTTGGTTCCTACCCCATTGGTATGAACTTTCACCTCACCTTGAGCAATGACAACCCCCAGTAGAGCAATACCCTTCCCACAGCAATGTGACCAAATCCTGAAGTCTTTTCTCAGGCATGACTCACACTTTATTAAAGAAATAACTTAGGTTTACTTTAATGAGATGCTTTGTGCAAGTATGAACTAAGAACAAAGGACTCTGTGCTCCCATCAATATCAGCTCTGGGGGAAGAATTGTGTTTCTTGCCTATTATTAAAGAAAATGCCAGGAAAGGTAATGCAACCCCTAGAATGTGTTTTGTTTATTGTGGGAAAATATGGAGAAATATGGGAAGTGTGTTGAGACGTGCGGCTGGCCAGACCTTTAAGGTGGAGCTCTTCCAGTCTGAAGAGGCAAAGACTGCCTCTGCATAGTGATCTACCCAGGGAAGACTGGCAACACTTTTAAACTGACAACCCAGATTTTAATGGAAAGTAAACTAGAATAATCATTTTATCAACACAGAGAAAACCTTAGGTGAGCAGGTTGAGACAGAATGGATATAAAAAGGGTTCATCTATCATTCTTTCCTTGCCTGCTGTGTCCTTGCTCCCATATACAGTTTTAACTCAACTCACTGGATTCCTGCATTGCAGCCACTGTGCCCTCTTGCCCCTGGCCCCTAGACAATTTCTTTCTGTCAGCAGAGAGGTCTGAGCGTACGGTAGCTCCTGCCCATCTCCTCTGCCTGTCACTACCTCAGCTGTGCTGCAGCATCTCTCTGCACTAGGCCCTGATTCTTCGCTCCTTCCTTTCATCTGCCCCATCCCGCCTGCCTCCTCCCTCCCTCCTGCTGGCCTCCAGAGGGGTCTACTCCATATTGTCACGAATACCGCATCCTAGCTGGGAACAAATGAATTAAACAGATAATGTCTGGCACAGGAATTCAATGTGGAGAAAACATGTTTCCTGGAGGACCCTAGCCCTTCCTAGGAAAGGGGCAGATCGTGGTGAATAATCTCTCTTTGGGCTCAAAATGTTGAAAAAGCAGAGCTCAGCCTGTGCTCACATGAGTGCAGAAAGGCAATCCATTATGTTTCTTTCTTCAGTATATTTTTTTTTTTTTCCTAGACAATGGGGCCACGATCAAAGACATCTTGCCCAAAAAGGGACATCTGAAAATCAAGGGGAGTTTTTAAAGACAGAAAGTGACATTGAAATGAATTAAAGGGTTTTAAGTTAGTGAAAAATAGCCTTTCATTGTCAAGGAGGTGTAGGGAGAGCTATATTGCATGGCTTTGACATGAGAGCCATGAAACAGAACTTTAGAAAAGGTCTTAGAAAACGTAAAACAAAATTAATTTTATTAATCCTGAAGGATTATATCATGAAAAGCCAGTGATAGCCTGTGTGGTATTCAAACCACAAGAAAGGAGAACAGTGGTAGATAGATCACATCAATCTGAAGATATCAAGCAGCATAAATGAGCACACAGCACAAAGAGATTGAAAGGACTGGTATTGTTCGTCTCTGAATAAAAATAAACAGTAGAAGACATGGAGAAAACAGGAAGTATGTAAATGGGTTAAGAATCCAGAGAAGAAAGATTACAATATTCTATTTTCTCCATTTTATAGCCTGAGAACTGTGAGATATCCAGTGAAGTTCAATGCAGATCAATGGAAAAAATTTCTTATATGATATGAGTGATACTTGCTTCCCTTTAACGCTACTAAGGCTGAAGACAATTCAAAGAGAATTGGACACCGAAATGGATAAGGAAAATATCCAGAATTTAATTGTCAATTCTAAAGTGTGGAGAGTGACAAAAGCCTTTTGCTTTGTGATCTGAAGGCAGCTCTGAAGATTGGGATCAGAAGGAGAGTTTCAAAACAGAACTAAATTTCACAGCACCATCTAATAAAGAATTTCTTACATTTTCATTTGAAATATATAGTCCAGGAAATAAGCAGAGCCTAAGTCTGATATGCTTTGGCCATGCCTGAGTTCCTTGGCTTTGGACTAACAGACAGCATGGTATAGTGTAAAAATGAACTTCTTTTCCATGCAGAGGTTAATGAGAATCCCCTGAAATTGAGCAGAATTTGACCAGTAACCTGCTCTCAGTTACCTATTTCTTGCTAGGCTCCTATTGTTTTCTTAAAGCGATTGCGTTAATATATTTCTTAGACAATCACAGCAATGGGATTGAAGGTCAAAGGCAAGGCACTTCAGAGTGCTCTTATTTTATGGGCTCCTTAAACATGCCATCTTTTATTGTCTATTCTTATGTCTCCTCCAATGCTTCTCCCAGGGACCCATAAAAAGAAAAAACAGACCTGCTAGCCAATTAATAATAGACACTTGTAGCATCAGGATAGGTTCATTAGTTGTATGGACAATAGAACTGCCCCAGCAAAAGACAGAATAGTTCAACACTTCTATTAAAGGTCCCAGAGGGCTGATACAGTAGCTCACAGAAAGCTACAGTAAGCTGTCCTCTTCTTTGTCCCTGAACTATAACTTGGCAGCTCTGGTGGAAGGAAGGAAGGTAGGGGTGAGCAGCGTTTGGTGGGCTCCCTCTGCAGTGCTGGTCCATTCCTCTGCTAGAATAATTCTCCTGCCAACAAGTGATTGATCTCTGGGTTTGTGTGCATTGAGAGGATGAAGAAAACCAGCTATTATGTAACCAAATAGCAGCAGTTCAGATGAGAATCTGAGAGGGAGGTGTGACGAAATCCCATATGCCTTTTTTGAAATGTAGCGTACGTGACACTGAATTAAAACAGATTTATCCTCTCAAAGAATAACCAACAGCTGTACTTCTTGACCACATCTTGCTCACAGCTGGAACCATTACTGCATACGAACAAGAAAGCCATTTGAAAGTCTAGTTGAGTGAGTTTCTTGCAAGTCCATTAATCTTTTGTGGCCTGCAGACTTTGACATATTTTTATAAGTCCTCCAACAAGAAGCAAGAAGGAGTATGATGGCATTAAAGATGCTATGAAAATTCTCTATAGGATGCTCTTGCCAAAGGGTAAATCAACATTAAAATGGGAAATTTCAAACATAATTTGGATCACTTCAAAGTAGTATATTGGGTCTGATTCGTATTTGCATTTCATCTTTTTATACCCCTTATGCTGGCAGCACAGAATTACCTTAAATGATAGTAAATGATAATTTAACTGCTTTAATATCCCTTTATTGATACAAAGTTGTCCCATCATAAACGAGAATCAGACCTATTCTACCTTTAAATGATTTCTTATCATAGATTTTAACCTCAGGATTTCTTAGTTATATTTTTCTGAAATAGCTATTACATGTGTGAAAAACAAGATACTTTACTTCTTGAACAGTCTGCTTTACAAAGGACTGAGCTTACACGCTGAGAGCACATAATGTAAATGAACAGCTTGCTCTGTATGTAAATAGCTAAGCGTCAAGCATTTCAAATAGTCCTCTGGAATTGAAAAAGATGTGTTCAAAAAGACTAGATGCTGGTGAGTCTTAAGACTGAGGCCGGAAAGGTATTTACCCAACAGACAGATTTGCTAAGGGCATCTATTTAAGTTTGAGGAGGAAAGTAGATCCTCTCTTAAAAAAAAAAAAAAAAAAATTAAACATTTTTAGCAGTTTGAAATCATGATTCTTTTTTATTTTCTTACAATTTAGTCCCCTTGAAATGAACTGTAAAAGTCTCCTTGATGGAAAGCTTGTTTATACATGGAGGCTTTCCAGTTATTTGCTCTTAAGTGTTTCCATAGTGTATGAAAGCTGGTTGGAATAGGATAATCTCAGGCTTTGACACACACAAGCATGTTAGTCTGGGATAACAAGATTAGGGGTGTTTGCAGGCTTGAATGCAGGCAGGAGGACAGCAATACATGGCATTAGCACCTATTGAAGAAGCACCTGTACCGTGGCAGGTGCTGCTACTGAGAGGGCTGGTAAATCTGCTGGGGCCAGCACTGGCATGGTGTAGCTTGTGCAGGGTTATTTGCTGGAGCATTCAACCTGCAACTGATCTGGAATAGCTCTTTGGCTTGAAGTCCATCATCTACCTCAAGGGGTATTAGTATCTTAAGGTAAACCAGCCCTTAGTGGGAATTAAGGCTGAAGCCTCAGTCCTTGGTGTGTTAAATTCATACCTTGTTCAGCTTGAGAATAGCTGAAAGAGCTGGATTGTGCTTATCCTCAGCCAGCTGAGAGCGACGAGGGCCCCTGAACCACTCTGTAACTTCAAGGCCAGTTTAAACTGTGTTTTTTGTGGCTGCCGTAGCATACTCTTGCTCCTAGCTGCATGGCCCCCTGTTCTGATGTGCTTCATCGTGCCAGCCAGGTCCAGCCAAGCCCCTTCAGCAGAAGGAAATGCTTATACCACCTTCATGCCAGGAGGGGTTTCCCCATGTTGAGGGGAATTTCTGTCTGCCCCTTTTTGGGAGTTTTCTGGCTGGTTTTCAGTGAGGGATTATGAAGCAGCTGGAAACCTTTATGTCTTAAACTGGAGACGCTGGAAACCTTATTCTTAGTTATTAGCATCTGACTGATCTCTATCTATGATCTTTGTAATGTGCTGCCATGTGTGAGCCTGGAGTTTGGGATGTGAATTTCTCCCTTATTCCCCGGAAGGAAACAGTTCCTACCAGCACAATGCAGGGAAGTAACATTGGCATGCTCTGAAGGGAACCTCAGAAACTCCTTTAGTACAGAAAAAACTTGGCTCATCACGGAGTAAGCGAAGGTGGTGCCGGAGGGAAGTAAGGAGAGAAAATGAGGATATCTTAATCTCTGGCAGAAACAGTCAGCCTATTACTGGAGAGTCCCACCCAAGCCAAAGGGATTAAACACAATCTGCAAATGCAACTGGCACTGAGAAGGAGGGAGGACAATTGCACTATGCAGAGGCACTTTATGAATTTGCAATTTGTTTAAATGCAAGAAGATAGTTAAAAAACCTGTGAAAAAGCCTTCATTTCAGCAAAATGTCATTTCAGACATAAAAATTAAGATGTTTTACTCTAAAACCACTGCTCAGCATCCTTTCTTCCTTTGCATCCCCCATCCCTTTCCAAGCTGTAGGATCACTAGCAGCCCTCCAGCCCTTCAGCAATGGCAACTGTGGAAAAGCAGTGTGGAGAGGTGTCCCATGAAGGCGGGCCAGCCTGCTGTTGTGTTTTGCATTGCACCGGTACTCCACAATCTCCCTCCGCTCATAAAGCAGGGCAGAGCTAGAAATAGTGTATGCTGACTAAGCCAACTGAATGACCCTGGAGACAAATTTTGAGGGGAGTAAAAGCATTTGCCTCTGCAATATCAGAAAGCAGAAGCTGAGAGTGGGAACATCTGAGATAAGTCATCTCTCTCTCTTAATCTGGTCTTTTAGGAAACTTCTGCATTATTAGTCCCTTTCTTTTACTTGAGGCAAGAGTGGATTGTGTCACACGGTTGAGGAAACAATGATAAACACTTACCCACCCTGTTAATAAATCACTTGCAAGACTGTGCCTGACTGTGCTTTAACGGAGGAAATGGGAGTAACTGAAAACTGACCTCTTTACTGCTCCACAATTATAATGCAAAGGATTTTAAGCTGGTGGTCATAGTTTTGGAGTTTGGGTTTTCTGCCCAAATCTATCCTCTCCTCCACCCACAGTAAATTGTACAGGATATTAAAAAATGTTATGAAAGCTGGGGAAGCAGCAAACTAATGATTTTAAAAGCTGCTAGTTATTGTATTGATTAAGTAAAAAGGACGTGCTGCCAGTGACAACTTGTTTTTCCCTTTTCAAGTTCATGGTAGCACTTTATGTAACCCCCTTATGAGAAAACTTGCTAGAAAACAATATTGTAAAACTGCCAGCTCCCTGGTGGAGAAAACTGGCAAACTTGTCTTAGTTTTGTAAAACCATAGATATAAATAGTGAGTGGGCCTGTGTGGCTCTGTTTTTGTTTTCCTGGAGTTTGCAAATACACTTTGTGTCACTGACATGCCACATTTAAACACAGTGCACTGTGTGATTAAGTTAGTTTAATTTTGTCAGCATTTGGCATTTGCTGATGCAGAAGGAAATCTTGTTCTCTGCTATGTCTACATGTGGATGAAAGGAATAAAATATTTACTGTACAGAGCTGAGAGACCAGATGCTTCTTTACTTCAGAGACTTTTAGGGAATAGGAAGTCAGGAAGTGCTGCAATTCATTATTTTGTCTCTGGCATGAAATTTGGGTATGGAATTTATTATGTTTTTAATGAGAAACCTTCTTTTTTTTACCTGGTTGTAATGTATTGTCTATTACTGTTGGCTTTTCTGTATTCAGCACTGTAGTACCACCTGGAAAAGAAATGATGCATATCATTACACATGGGACACAACAAAGGACATAGCAGTTATTAGGAATATCCTATATATAAATATGAAATATTACCGTCTTTATTAGACATGTAGGTAACTGTGTATGTGAGTTTAAGCATGAAAATAAGACATTAAAGAGCTGATTTCCTTTATCAAAAAAGAAAACAAGACCTCATCATTAAATAAAACTGTATATCTTTGGAGTCCTTGCAAACACCACCTAATCAATCCTCACCATGTCCCTGTGGCTGCCCTTGTTTTATAGATGCTGCTTTGCTCAAAATCACATGATAAGTCAGCATCTGATCTCCATAGCACCTCCTAACAGTCACAGTTTGGTTATTCACCCATGACATGTTGTTTCTCATATCAGGGATATGAGGTCCTCCAGCCCCTGCCAGGCTGGGCCCTCCCTGTGAGTTGTTTCATAGCTGTGCTGTGAGACCAGCTCACAAGGGAGGTGCATGGGAACTGTCTGGCTTTAGGCTACCATCTAAGGCAGGTTTCACTTCTGTCTCAAAGAGCAGGAGAAATTAAGGACTTCCCCTTTGTCTTCTTCAAGCAGATGAACAAGAGGTGAGTGGGGTCATGGCCCTCTCCTAAGCTCACTAATTGATATTTTTAAAATACTTGACTTTTTAAAGCAAGCCTCATATTGATAAAGGAAACAAAAAGTAAATTAGCACAATTATAAATACGCAGTGGGGTGCTGATTACCAGTGAATGGCTTTTCTCTTCTCCAGCAAGCAGGTGCTTAAAGCATTATAGGAAGGATGACTATGATGACTTCCAATGAGAATGAATGCCCAAGCTATATCAGCTTTATGCTTGTGAGAATGATCTGATGGGAAATGCCATAAGCCACACAAATAGAGTATCTCTGTATGGGGTCCAAACAGAGCAGGAAGGAATCTGGCCTAGAGCACAATCACAGTTAATTGCAGGGGAGGTTGCATTGTGATACATATGTGCGAGTGCTATCAGGGACCCGACTCTAACAGTCGTACCCATGAGAACGCGGGTCCCACACTTGCATTGGGAGCAGTAAGAGGGTACGGCACTGATGAAATTCCCTCTGCACTGCCCTGCTATCCTTAATGGGCCATGAGATTAACATTCTTTCCTTCTACGCATTTTGGAGGAAGAAAAGAACGTTTACAATGAAATTATTGGTAAAATCACTTCTGTGCCTTTTAGTGTTATAAGTAACAACATACATACAATGCACTATTTCTATAGTGTCCAGGACAACTGGGCATACACTGCTCAGGGTTTCTAGGTGGTATAGTAATAAATTATGCTAAAGTGTCTGCACTTTTGTAGAAGGGCAACGCAGTAATTTTCAATTTCAGTACTGAAATAGGTTCAGTTCCCCAAAAGAGATGGTGCTCAGGAAAGCTGGTGGCTGTTCCCTTGTCTTAGAGATTACAAACTGCTCCCTAAGCACAACCTGCAAAAATTGCCAGAGGGAGTTTCTTCTGCTCAATAAGCTTTCCTTAAGGGATGTGTGGGATGAGGTCCTGAGCTTGCTGAAGTGCAGAGACTATGAGTGACAGGGAAGGTGCTTATATAGATCTGTCTCATTCCCCTCACACAGCCTCCATCTATGTGAAATATGTCTCTACCTATTGGGCTTTGCAAGCCAGCCCTCAGCATAGGGCTTTGCAGGAAGCCCCAGGGTTTCCTGACCTGGCTCTTTCCTTTCAGAAAAATAAATAAATTACAATGTTTAGTAACATTGAAAGCTTTGTGAGCTACCTTAACACAATACAGACTATTTTATCAGACTCCCTGCATGGCTGTTTTCACAAAGAATATTCGTCTGAGACACTAATTTGAAAAGCAGTGACAGTGACCGTGCAGTGTCTTTTCCACTCAAGAATTGTTTTTCAGTTTATAATTTTCCAGCATGCATTTAAGGAGACATTGGCAAAGCTCAGAAAAGGTTTGATGCTGAAACTGCACTTTCGTTTGTATCTGCTGTCAGATGTTCTACTTGGCTGCTTTCAAAAATCCAATCTCATACTTAAGGTTTTCCAATGTCCTCTTGGACAGCTATTGCCATATTTTAATGCTATTTTATATCACGGATATAAAATGTAATAAACATTTATTAGATAAGCAAACCAGGGAGCAGTGATGAAATAACTTGTGTCACTGTGTCCAAAAATAAGCTCAATTACTGTAGATGTATAGGTCTGCTACAGGAAGGTCTCATCAAACAGGCCCAGAGCTTTGTGGAGCAAGTGACCTCCAAGAAGAGATCAAAAACACAGTGGTGCAGTGTCGGCTTTCTCAGAAGAACAGTAGTTCTGTGCAAAAGTGGGAGAATATGAAAACTAGCAAGCTTCCTCCCTTCCAGATGCAGATTATGTTATGCCTCTCCCTCCTACTTTTCTGCTAGTGATGGCAGCTTGGAGAACAACAGCCCCTCCGTGGCTGTAATGCAGCGTTGGTAGGGAAGCTCATGGAAATCTTTCTGGTGGTATACATGTGAGTATGCTTTGATGAAACAAATCTGTTCTGTTTCTGTTTGGGAAAGGTTTGGGGCTGAAACTTGAGTCCTATACTAAATTTTAGGTATGGAAGCGTACATCTATCTTGAACGTAAACAACATTTCGAGTTCTTCAATCTCAGACAATAAACCTCAAAAGGTTTGTCCAGCTTTTTTTTCTTAATAAGAGAAAGTTTGATTAGGATATTTGATTAGACACAATTCCTGCTCAAAAAAAAAGCCCTCTCTTCCAGCTAGTCACTATTATTTGCTTCAAAAATTACATAGCTGGGAAAACAATCAAAAGTATTGTCACATGTAAAAGGCAGATGCATATGTTTTGACAGCACTGACAATATGAACTGCATACCAATGTCCATTTATGCTGAGTGATTAAATCAGTGCAAACATTTAGCTGGTAACTGATGATGGATATGAGCTACAATGAAGCTGCAATGGAATGAGGATGGTTTCTGCACCTGTCAGTTGGTAGTCATCACCTGTGCCACTGTGACAGTTTGCCTGGTCATCATCACACTCATCCACAGGTTTGCCTTCAGAAACGGTAGGGACAGCAGTAGGAGCTGAAAGAAAACCCAGTTGTTCAGTTAAAAACATGTGCTGGAGAATCAGCATACAATTGGCAGTAACATTTTGATAAGCACCATATGCGGTCTTCATGTGTTGTATCTGAGGAATAAAGCAACTCCCCTTCGCAGGTTAGTTAGTATTTCTTTGCAATGGGATGTATCTGGTCTGCCTCCTCATGCTAAGGCACCCTGCTGTTTCTGAGCTCAAGGGCTGAGCAGAGTTGGGCAGCAAAGTCCCAGACTGTCTATTCACTGGCTGACGGGTGTTTGTTGTTCCTGCCAACGAAGAGTGAAAACCTGGCAAGACAGAAGGGGAGTCTTGGCAGGGAGGTGGGCTGGAAAACCTATGATTTTATTGCAGGTCAAAGTGCCTGTGAGTGGACCTGTACAGAGGAGCAGGAGAGGGTGCATGCTCAAGGTGGTAATTCTGCAGCACCCACCACATTGCTGAAGAAACCTCTCTACAGAGCACATGTAAGAGAGGAAATATCTGAGCAGAGTCCTGGTAACAGTGGCAGGAAGGTATTGTGATGCACTCAACGAGGAGATCTGGAAGGAGTTTCTTTTGTTTTTGTTAAAGTTATAAATAAGACATCAGTGATGTCAGTCATCCCTCCCGGCCACCTGCCCGCTTCTCGTTGGTGATTACTTTCTGGTAGCCGCTGCATACCCAGTAAAAGTCTGACCTCTGCTATTACAGTTAAAAGCTTGAGATTTGTGCAAGATGCCAGAAAATGTATCTATCCCCCAGTATCTGCAAAACATACCACATCTGGAAAATCAGAATACAGATACTTGGTGTTATGTTTAGCTTTATGTTTTATGCTGCAAGTATAGTTCTCTGGCTTAAGATAACCACTCTGGGAATGTGATCCAGGCTTCTGTCTGTTCTCATCCACTGTTATTTTCATTAACAATGTTTTAGTCTCATTACAAGCTATGCAATAATGTACCCCTTTCTTGAATTCTTCTTTGTCCTTCTACTGGCCCCAGAGCCCACTGGCCATGTAAGATCTTACGCACTGGCTTCTTGGCCTGAAAATGTCAGGAGGGATAGTAGTTTCTGAAGTAGCTATACTGTGGGATGAAACATGGCTCTTTAGGACCCTGACCTATGCTTTACAGGTACAATCTAGCCCTAGTTAAAGGAACAATTCTGTACCTATTATGAATTATGCAGAGTGTCTGTTCCCCACATTGCTTTAAAAATTCCTCTGGGAGCTCCCTCTAGCTTTCTACATCGAGTTAAGTTTCTTACCTTTATCTTTGTGCCCCTGTATAGCCTCAAGCTTGCCTACATCTCTGCCATCATTTCATATAAGCCCCCCTGGGATGCTTCGGGCACTCAGAACTTCCACTTGCTCATTACTGCTGGAGAGTTCATTCTACTCCTGTCTGTGCCTACCTCCATGCATCTTTTCTCATCTCAACTTCTTTCCTGCTCAGTAAATCTAAGTGACTTCTCTTCATTCAACTCTGTCCTTAAGATACAGCTATACAACAAAGTTTTCTTGTTATGGGTGACCTACAGGTGAGCACCCTTCAGAAGTACACCATAGTGGGAAAACAAATGCAAGTAGATATGTTGCAGGGAAAAATTATACTTGCTGCTGCAGTTTGCCTAAAAACAAAGGCATTTTGCCTGGTCAGTCTCTGCTTTGGCTTCTCCATCTCACTGAGCAATGTGTTCTTGTAAGGTGGTCCACGGATTCACTTCTTGATGTCTAGGTGGCTACAGGAGCCCTGTGGCCGAAGTACTTTGCCCACAGGTCGTGAGTTTACATGAGGCAGGTGCTGGGTTTTCTTTTTTCTGAGCAAGTAGCACAATAGCCTGCAGGAAGTAAGTACTCCCATAGGAAATGAGGACTTCCTGCAGGAACTAAGTATTTCCAACTTCCTCATCTTCCGAGCCAAGTAAAAAGCACACTTATTCAATCTGGCCTTCACTAAAAAAACAACACAGCACTCATCAGTTCTCACAGCAAATGCCTCCTACTCTTCCGCCTTGGGGGAGAAATGGTGAGAAAGAAATGGAGGCAGAGCAGTTGGGTCCATTCATCTGGAGACCCTGTTCAGCCACTTCTATAGGAGGTATCATATGAAACCCTGGATAATGTGGTTTGTTATTCTGTGTATTGTTAAGCTGTGTGGTTTATAAGCCATGCCGCTATACCATCATCTACCAGATAAAATTGTGAAATTCACATAGTGTTATCTGTAGTTATCTATGAAGTTAAATAATTATTGTTTATATAACAAGAATCAAAGCTTGACTTCATGTCACAGTCCAAGGATAAATGTCTAAACTTTGTTTTTCCTGGTCTTTTATCTCCTACATACTCTTGCAAAATTAAAGCTTGGTAAGAAACAAAGAGGCCCCCTTTACCCCCCAAAAGGAACAACACAGACACTACCCAGCCAAGTAATCATTGCTCACCATAGTGTCTGGTGTGACTTTCATGTCCTTTGAAGGAGCAAGGGACATAATTGCTATATTTAGTGCCAAGCTCCCTCTGCATTCTCAGAAAACATCTCTTCAAGGACTGTATCATGGTAACATAAAATTTAAGTTCCTGCCTTTATTGTCTCCTAATAGCTCTATGCTTCTTGAAAGTATAATCATAAGGGTGCTTAAGGGAACAGAAAACCATGTGGAGAATATCACTGTGATTTAACAAAGGAATGGGAGAAAGAATAATATTTGTGCCTTGGGCATATTCAAATGTCTGCAGAGAGAGAACTGATTAGACCAAGAAACAGCATGAATGGCAGCCATGGAAGCAAGAGTCCAACATGCTGCCTGTACAGACACAGCAGTGTTCAGCAGTAGACCAAGTGGAGAATGTATTTTTGAAAATAATAAAGTGCATTCATCTCTAGCAGAGCAATTACCTTCGAGTTCACAGCCCAGCAGCTCCATTCGCAGCCCCAGTCCTCCATGTGTGGCTCTCTCAGGGTAGACGCGGATGAATCTTGTTGATACAGGTTCAAAAGTCCGCAGTTCAGGCGTGTCATAGTTGGTGTTGCCTTCAAAAGTCTGCAAAGCATGACAAATGCTACTTGTTAAAAAAAAAAAAAGCTATTTTCAACAATCATCTTTTTTCCTTCATTCTCCAGTCTTTGAATTAGGTGAGCAATAGGCCAGATTCTAACCATTTGATAAGTGTCAGGAAAAAAACTAAATGAGAATGGAAAATACATAGTTAAAGCTTCTCAGAAAAGTAATGCATTTAATTTTTCATAAACTCAGTACCAACCAATCCATCAGGGTCATAACAAGAGCTGAGTGTTTAATGAGACATGTTTTTAAATGATGCTCTGATCTGGGGTTTAACTGGGTGACATTTTCAACACTTCTCAGGGAAAAAAAAAGGCTGAGGTGAAGATCTTGTCACCTTTTAAGTGGTTACAATAATAATCCAACTATTCAAGAGAAAATTTCAATCTGATTTCCCCCAGTGACAGAGTTTCACAAGTTGTAGTTATTTCAAAAGGCATAAATTAAACTCCAGGAACAGTAGCTGCAAGAGTTCTTTCAGTGAGCCTGCTATTGAATAAGCATAAAAAGAAAGAAAGAAAGAAGAAAGCTGCTTCCTGACAAAACTGCAATATAATCCAACGGGCAAGGCAGGTCAGCAAATGTACATTTCAGACAAAAAAATCTCTTCTCTGAGTTGTGCTCTGGGCTCTTCAGCCATAATGCAGCTCTCAATGGCATTTGTTTGATACCTTTGGCTTCTCTTGTCAGTGATCTTTTGCATATAGAACAAGTTGTAATTTGTACTTACAGCAACACCTCAGGTGCCTCCATGGAGACGATCAGTCCTTAGAATGAATTAACTGTACAAAGAAACAGTCTTTGCCATGAAGAGTTTAAAACCCAAGATAGGCAAAAGGAGTTATTTTTACCCTATTTTATGGTAAAAAAGGACTTTGGAATATCATGCACAGAACACTCTGAAGTACAAAATATGAAAATGTATATAACAATGAAGCGAAAGTAAAGTATTTCCAACTTTTCTATGAATTAGCTAAATGGCAAAATATTAAAAAAACATCTTCTTTTAATTAGAGTTCAAATTTGGGATTAGAAGCACTATTATAAGATACTTCCAACTCAGAGCTGTGAAGCCTGAAAGCTTCCTCAGGAAGAAACCACCAGATGCCCTTCATTTTTGATGAGAACAAAACCCAACCTGCAATGAACTCCTCCTATTGATCTGGGGCAGAGAAAACAGTGGCCATGGGAGAAGCTGGCTCTATTTCTGAAGGCACAAAACCAACATAGGTAAACCTGATTGCTCCTTGTCTTTTCAGTGCAGTCCTAAAAGCCTTGCTTGTTTTTACTATACACCTCTGTATTACGAATCAATGGTCCACAACCCCTTCTGGCCATTGATTAGAGTGCTGGTCACAAAAGCCAATGATGATGGGAGACTATAAACAACTAAATTTAAAAAAATTTCAGCATTATTGCTTCTGCTTCTACTTCCTAGGGGAGACTGTACTTCCAAGGTGGCTACAAGGGGCAGTGGTTGACCTGATGTTCTGCCAGTGCTTGGAAAACAGTTGTCAAGAATTCATATGTAGATGCCCTGTCAGATTTAATTAACATGGAATTACATATTATTATATTTGAATAGCAATATAGTGCAAATGATCAGAAAAGCTACGTACCATACGAGAAAGAATGAATGCCATTTTATGTGTAAAAAGTAGACAGACACATGCATCTGAGGATCTTTACTTGCTTTTTAATAGTAGTCTTAATAGCAACATATAATAATGAAACCTGTTTTATAAAAGACATCGGTACTGGAGTACTGACAGATAGACATTAGAATTCAATAGGCATCTAGAATTATATTGAATCATTGTCCTTTGTAGTGCAGAGCTGCCTGCGATTCAATTTTGACTGTTCATTTAACAAACGTACTGATATTCTTTGTGGGGGAGGAGAGAGGAGTATACAGTAAAACTTCACTTTGTGAGTGTCTTTTAGACAGGCTATGTCACAAATTGCTTTCTTTCGTTACAAAGATAAGTTATAATAAACAACAGCTAAACAAAAGAGAAGGTGAGAGGAAAAAAATTCTTCCTAATGTCTTTTAAAATCAAAATAAACTTTGCAGAAAAATTTAAAAGGTTGTGCCAAATTGCAGGATATTCAGAAGTTTCTTGTACCAGAAATGATGACAGGGTATTTTTAAAAAGAAAAAAAGTGGAAGGAGGAAAGAAGTGTGAAAGAGGAAGATGAATTTATGGAGTAAGCTTGAGTAAGACTATGGACAAGAAATACAAATTGGATCTTGAAATGAAAATGGGGTTCTGTGTGGTCATTTAAGGATTTGTGATGTTCACTCCTTTGAGTGCTTGAGGTAGGCTAAAGGGGGAAACATTCTGCACATTCAAAACCAGCAGAAACTGGGTCAGCCAAAGAGGAAGGAGTTATGGTAGTCCTAGTGAAAGGAGCTGCAGGCACAGATGACAAGATCACGTTGAGAAACAAGGTGATGTTTCATCCTTTGGACATATTTTGCTGTTACGTTTAGCTTGTCACTGCTTTCTTTTCCTAAAATGCAGTTGTTTGTTTATTGAAAGTCAAGCCTTTAACCAAGTGAAATGATGTGTTTCATTTCATATAACAGAGCTGTTTCTAATCCACATTCTTGCTGTGACTCATTATAGCATGCTGTCCCATCCAGCTCCGCTTACGTTTAAAAAAACCCACATCCCAGTATTAACATTTTAAATCCCTCAGACTCCCAAATCATGGGATTTATCTGATTCTTTTTAAAGAAAACTTGTGCTTTGGAAGAAAGTTTATTAAATGTCTTGAATTTTTGGGAAGGATTATAATTATGCCACAAGAGATTTGAATTCCAGCCCTCTCCATTCCATTAATCTTGAAAGTTAATTTCTGGTAGTGATGAAAGCTGAGGATGGACTCAGTGTGTTAGTTAGCACACTAGTTTTCTTGTCAAACTGCTAACTTCTGACAATGACGGCAAGTGCTTGTATTAGAAAACAGAAAGCCACGCAGCAGACGGCACACTGCTTTGAAAGCATATGGCATTATTTTTTTCCCTCGTTGAGCCACAGTGTAGAAGAACATGTCAAAACAACATCTATTTTAGAAAGAAAATGGTTAGATCCCATTGTTGATTTACACTCTCTTCACACTTTATGATGAAGTCAAAACTCATGGTAACAAGAGAAAGGAGCTGACTGCAAAGGCTGAATTCATTTAGTTTTAATCCCCAAAACAAATGATGAAAAGTGAGAAAATGCAGACATATTCAGTGAGATTAAAACAGGAGAGAATGAAGTCCAATATTTACCAAATGTGCTTGGAAAAGCTACATCCATGGGCCCACTCAGCTTTTCCTTTAAGGAAACACAGGTTTGTCCAATGGATGAGTCTGTACAGCAAAGCAGCTTTTACATCTACTTTTCAGACCAATGCAGATGAGATATGGAGCAACTCTCAGGATTCCCATCTGCAAAGCAGCACACTGATTTGCCTTTTGAGGGCACATTTTGGTATATGAATCCCTGATCATCCCAGTACTGCAGCACCAGTTAGTGAACAGGACTGCGTGCCCACTGATTTCCTCAAGGAACAGGGTAGGAGGACTAAAAAAGGGTTGTGTCTTTTGTGGCAAAAATGCACTTTGTGAGTATTGATAGCAAAATGGGATGGAAGACTTAACAAATGGGATTTGGGATAAATAAACTGAACACTCAGTGACGTTTACGTTCTGAAAAGCATACATACAAAGACAAAACAAAACAGGTATATTCCCAGAAACTTTTCTGGGCCATGCTTATTTTCTTTTCCTTGGCACCTAACCCAGCAATTCATTTGGCCCTCTGTAAATGTCTTGCAGTTTCTGCTTGAATCTATGAACCAGCTGTCCTTTATTTTCACGTGACCTCCATGATGCTTCACTTGTGACAGTACAATAGTACTTTTTGCTTGGGATGGGATAACACATCAAATACTCTCTCACTTTCTTTCAAAGGGACTTGGATCAGACCATTACAGAGAGCCTGTGACACTCTCAAAGCAGTCTACAGGCAGTTTAGAAATCTAACAGATATCCCATTGAGTTAAATTACACCATTCTCATTCTACAGGTCAGACAAAAAAGAAGCAAAAGAGAAGTAATTCAGTGTCTCAAGTTTGTCCACTGTCAGTGGAAAAACTGTAAAGGAAACTCTACTTTTTTGGCAGTGTTGCATATTACGATTGCATGGGATTTTGCAGTAACCTAGAGGCCACAGAGGCACACCACCCTTGTCAGAAATCAAGTCTGAACTAGCAATTGAATAAACAAAACCTTTGCTGAAGAGAGAGACGAATGTCCTAAGGCCAGCTCCTGCCCTGAGGCATGGCATGATTCCCACAGCAACTCTTCACGATTGCTGCCCTATGAGTCCTCCTGCTTGGCTTCATCCCAACTATGTGCCTTTTCTAAGGTCAGAGATAGATGTGTGGAAATGTAATCAAAGTTTTTTTTTAATTCAACTTTTTTTTAGTTCAGAGCTTTCCTCCTTACCTTTATCTTTTTCTTGCTGGAATCCATGATCATTTTCCAATCCGAACCGTTGTTGCTGTAGCCAATTTTGAATTTTTTCATGAATACTTTGTTTTCTCGGTGCTTGCCTCCTTGGACAATTATGCCCCTCACTTTTTTTTCTTCACCAAGGTCTATTTGAAGCCATTCGTTTGTATATGGATGAGTAGTCGGTGGCAGCGCCCAACCTGAACGGCTTGTTATAAGGCGAGCATTTTCTGGGATCCAGTTTCGATCAACTTGAGTAGATGCAGTAATCTGAGAGTCAGGAATGAGCCCAGACACCATACCCAGCATCCCAGAGCAAGGATAATCTACAGAGAAAAAAACAAATAAATTAAATAGTTAATCTGAACAAGCATCAAAACAGAAACAGGATACATCAGTCAATTCAACTATCATAAGCAATTACTTCTTTCTTTCTTATATCCAAAATAATCTCTTCGAATTTGTGTATAATTTTTGTTTGTTCAGACTTGCATATCCTAGTTTTGGCAGGAAGTACCAAAATACCACAAGTATTTCTGGCTTGACGGGAACCAAAAGGATCAGAAAATCCTCTTCTATTCTTGTTTTCTATTCTTCTTGCTAAGGCAGAGAGTCCAGGGTCACATCTGAATTTGTGAATATTTCCCTAGAGAAAATGTCCAAAATCAGCCAAAAGCTGGTTGCAGATTACTTAATTTTGGTGACATTGGAAATGAAAATCTTTTATACATTCTGTAAAATATAGTTTATTGCTGTACTTGTGATTTTCCTATTGTATTTCTTTGGTCTCTCAGGCTTTTTCAAATGACACATAAGCTAAATAGTTGCTTCTTTTATGGTCCCAGACAAATATAAATTAGAAGTTCCTGCTAACAAGGAATGAAGATTTCCAATATAGAACGTAACAGCAGTTCTGCTGATATTACCCTCATCTAATCTGAAAAGATTTCATAGAATGACCTGGAATTCTATAACATAGTAATCAGTAATCCTGCTATATGGAAACCAGTCATAAGAAATATTTTCAAGACTAAAGAAACACCTTAAGGGAAAAAACCAATATCACTAGAACTATTAAAAATTAGTGCCAATGAGCTGTATTGCTATAAAACAATGCTAGACATTTTTTAGAAAAATCAGCTTTATAAAAAATATTAAGTCATTAACACTTTCTTTAATCTATAACTTGTGGTATTTTTACTTTACATATAAAAATGTCTCCATTTTGTAGGAGTTACAGAAATAGAAAAAAAAAGACTTCTAAAAAAAGTCTTGCTTGTGCCTGTTTTTTTTTGTTTGGTTGGTTTTTTTTGTTGTTGGTTTGTTTTTGTTTTTGTTTTTGTTTTCCCCCAGATAGTATTTTGATGATAATGAATGCCTTTTCTGTTGCTTCAGAAAGCACTTTGGACAGTTATTTTGGTAGTTAACTGTGTGATATAAAGGAGTTGCATTCCAATACTGATCACTAGTGGGAACCTGACCATATACGTCTGGTTGCTTGAATAGGCTTCAGATCTAAGTGTTTGTACCTTGCAATGCTTTTAAACATAGTTACGTATGTTCCTTGGGAAACCTGCTGAGAACTACCTACAAATATGAGGAATGAGAGAGAGGGACTGGAGGGTTAGGAAGGAAAAACAAGACGGGAATTTGCAAAACATTTGTTTATCTATCTCAGGTATTTTGCATGGAGCTGTAAAATAATTGCAAGAAAAGTAATTAAACCTTATTTTTTTTCACTTCTTAAAGCTGAATGCCTAAAAGATAATGCCAGAAAAACATTCAGATAACACTGGATGTTTGGGTTGTCACGTTTCATTTTCTTTATGTTTCTTTTTTTACATTTCTACATTCAGACCACAGTGGAAATAGCGAAGTGCATTTCACTCATAAAAATAAAACCCACAGCATGGGCACACTAAATTCCCTTGGTTTAAAAACCCTTCCCAAGACCTACCTGTTATCTTGCAGCCGTAAACTTCAAATCTCAGTGATACTCCATTTTCCCAAGACATAGGTCTGATTCGCACAAACCGTGTTAAAACTGGTTTGGCAAAAGATCTGTAAACAACATCAGTGGGATTGCTATTCCCTTGAAACACCTTTGTGTGGAAAGAAAATGTACGTATTTGTTAGACTTTCTCTTAAATGATGTTTATAATCTGTGTTTTACAGATAATTACGGTACAAGGTGAAACCAGGGTTGTTTTGCCGGGGGATGAGACAAAAGACTTGCATGGGGAACTGTTTCATTAAATTCCTAGCACAATTTTTGCAGACAGAAAAGCTTTCCTTGGGGAGAAGAAAAGAAGACGTAAAGTGTTCAATGATACTAAAAAATACTTGCCACCTGCAGAGTCCCATAACACACCATAACACTGCTGGAGAGATCAGGGCCATCTTAAGAGCAGGAGCTCACCTGAGTGCAACAAGGGTCTGTCCACCCCCTGCCTATTTTGAGGTGTTCCTCATGTCCAGATCTATATGCAGGAATGACATACACTGGTCTCTGTCACTCCAGGACTGCTGTGTCCTGGAAGAATCCCTCAATGCCCCATTAGAGTAGTTTTATTCCTTGTACACTCGTAGAATGATGCAAAAAGCTACAGAACCTCAGGCCCAAGTTAAAGGTTTGGATTTCAACTAGACCACATAAAAACCCTATACAGAGTTAGGATAAAAACATATATTTTTTTGCTGTCCTTGGGCTTAACAGTTTTGCGGAGTGTATTGTGCAAACCTTGCATTGTTAACCTTCCATTTTAAAATCCTTTTTAACAAGTACTGAGACTTTCTTTCTCCTTGCATACTGAGGTGGAAGTCTATTTTAAATCTATATAGCAGGCTCTAAGATTTTCTCTGTGTCCCCGGAGGCTAACAGTCAAATTAGATGAACAATGAGACTTCCACAAGAAGGGACGGGATTGCGCTGTGCTTTCATGTTGAGGATCTTGCAGACGAGCTCCTTCCTAGCAGAGCTGAAACCTTGCAATGTTCTAGTCCAAAGAAGGTGATTCAGCTTCCTGCTTCTTCCTCACGTAGAGAGGATCCATTTCCTGTTGTGTTCCATGGATACAAACCCCTCTCCTTTTATGGGAGATTCTCCCATTTCTTACACACACTGTCTACTTTCCTGTTTGTTACTTGCAATAACTGCACTAATTTGGAGCCGAGGCCAGCAGCGCACAGCTGTCAACTCATCAGGCTCAGCTGTATCTGATGTAATTTAATATAGGAGTTTCCTATCTAGCAAAAGATTTTGAATGGAGCTACATTTCTTTTCAGGAACTCTTGTTCTCTGGGAGGACCTGCTGTAGTTTTGTCAAGGTCTGCATCTGACAGGGAAAATGAGCCTTTTCTTAAAAGTACACAGCTTCTTATGTGTGATTAGTGCAACACTTGTGTGAGGCTGCCTTAAAGAGATCTGTGGCTGCCTGCTTTTGCTGTTCCTTCAGTTGCCAAGTCTCCTTAACTTTTCATTTGAATAAAGATATCAGAGGGAGACTGGTGCATAGTTTTTTCTTGTCCTGATCAACAGCAAAATATTGCCATTTTAGAAACCTGATTTTTTAATAAACCCTTTGAACAAATAACACAGGTTTAAGAAGTGTTCTCACTAATTAAGGACAGCATGTACAAAAGAAACTCATGTAAAATACACTCTTGGAGAGTTTACAAATTGAAGTTGGTAATGAAAATCAGGCATGGTCTGATTTTGAAAGAGGTATTTGTTCAGATTACAGGAACTAGAGCCAGGAAACCCTATGTCTCATACCAGCTACAGTGTTGTCTCCTCTTATGACTTTGGGCAAGTCAGTTATTGTACCTTTATACATCATTGTACAGTGACCACATTGTGGCATTTGACCTTCTAAAGTTCCTTCTCTGTCAAACCAGGATAATACCTGTCAAAGAGAAGATTTCAGGATTCATTTTTTATTGTTTTACAAGGTGCTTCAAAGAGGAAAGACGTATGTGTTAAACACTGCTACCATTTTGATTAGATAAATGTAGTGGACTTGGCATAGCACTTACAGATGAATCAGGGACAGAGCAGTAACCAAATATTTAGAGCTAGATATGGTTACACTGATAGTGTTTAATATTAAACAGCTCTTCTGGGTCTTCACAAAAGGGTCACAAAAAAGCTATTTTGAAGGGAGGTACTGCAAAACCTTTCCAGTTGCATCAGCCCCTGGCAGCCTCTAGGGATGCTGCTCCTGGGCACATCCTGAGCGAGGCGGGAAGGGAGGCACTGCCTCACTGGGACTGTTCGTGTGAGAGCTGGAGCAGAACTGACTTCTCAGTAACAAGCTTTATGCTCATGGTAGCGGACAATGAAGATTTTTCTTATGAGTGTCTACAGCTGTTTCATTTGGAGGTCATAGAGAGCAAATCCAATGATAAATGGAAAGGTGATAATAATCTGTAAGGACGGAAAGATGTGCCTAATTATCTGTCTGCATGATCCCCATCACTGAGATGCTTGGAAGTCTAACAAACTACTAATGACTTGCTAGCACTACTGCAAGACAGTATGGCTATGCACGGGGAGCTGAGGAGCTGATGCACTGCATATCCAGAGCTTCACTGCAGATAAGGGTCCTACATATTCTTTAAAAGGTTCTCCATAATGTTTTTCTCAAGGTCACATAGAAAATTTCTTGCAAACTGGGAAACAGCAGCATACTCCAGGGAAAAGACCCAAACCGCTCAAATTATGGTGGGTACAACAGACCAGGCAGCACCTTGCACCCTTTTCAGCTGCTCTAGGCTTTAGATAAACAATTTCTGCGGCTCATTAGTACTGAGACAATAGCTATCTTTTGGATTTGGGATATTGTTTACCCTGATCAACCTTATTAAACCTGTGATACCTTTTTCCTCATTTTTAACAACTGATAGTAACTAAACAGTTCAACAGCCTACCTCCTGGCCAAAGAGAGGCAAAAGAACAAAGACTTACAACAGGCTTGTTTCCCTCCTTCAGTGTAATCCAGTCCTCGCCATTGGAGCTGACATCTACGCGATATGTTTTCAAATAATATTCTTTCTTTGTTTCTTTTGAGATGGCTCCTTGGGTCCCAATTCCAGAAACAAAGCGGAGAAGGCCTAGATCTACCTGTGGTAACAAATGAACAGGGACGTGAGGACAATCAGTTCAGAGCATAACAACACTGCAGAATCATAGAATCATTATGGTTGGAAGAGACCTCAAAGATCATCAAGTCCAACTGTATACCCGATGCCACCATGCCTGCTAAACCCACTAAACCATGTCTCAAAGCACCACATCTAAACGTTTTTTGAACACCTCCAGGGATGGTGAGTCCACCACCTCCCTGGGGAGCCCGTTCCAACGACTCTTACAGTGAAGAAGTTCTTCCTAATATCCAGCCTGAACCTATCCTGGCTCAACTTGAGACTGTTTCCCCTTGTCCTATTGATAGTTACTGGGGAGAAGAGACACCCTGTCTGTCTCCCCATGTTTTACAAAGATAGTAAGGATTTTATATAAAGGAAATTGCAACATATTGTTGATAATAACATAGCCATAATCTCCTCTTTTGTAAACAGTGTCATCACAGGAGACAGGAGCATTCGCCTAATTAGCCAGGAGGGCTGTTCACATGCCAGAGAACTGCCTTTCCTCTATGGGGGAGGAACCAGAGACCCCATCAGTGCAAGTGGAAACCATCAGACTGCAGAGAAGGTACTAGAGAAGTTCCTCAAGGACCAGTCTGGTGAACAGTCTTACTTAATACTTTCATTAACTGCTCTGCATAGATGCTAATGAAATTCGCTAAGGACACAAAGCTGCAAGGCATTGTCAATACAGAGGAGAGTCATGCAATGAGAACTGAATGACTCTGAGGACTGCAGTATTAGAAATGGGATGAAATTTGATAGTACAGTATCAAAAAGTCATGCACTTAGGGAATGATAACAAGAATTCTACTAAAACCCAGGAGCTCATCACTTGCAAACAGAAGAGAAGAATCCTGTGGTGTATTAGCTAGTCACAAGATAATTACAAATCACTGTGTGATTTTGTTGGGAAAAACGCAAATGAGTTGCTTATGCCATATGACTTTTTGAAGAAAGAAGCATTAGCACAAGTGCAATAATTCTGTTCCAAGTGTCAAATGTAGTGAACTGTAATCATTAGAAAATAATGGCATTTTGAACTTGCTGGAGAAATGAACACTATGGTGTGCACACAGATGCATGTTAGAGGCCTCCTCTCTTCTTCACTCATTCTCTCTCTTTCTCCTTCTCTCATGAATTTACATTGCCACCAAATGGACAAGTGATTTAGGTTAAGCTTCCCCTCCACTAGTTACTTATTTGTCATCCAGATCTGTTTCCTCATCTAGTTCATCATGGGGCATCACAGAAGATGTATTGACACAGCTGGGAGGATGATGTGGGGTGCAGGAGTGTGGCTACTCGTCAGTTCTCGTGGCAAAAGAAACCTTTGTCCCAGTGCACAAAGTCCAGCTGCCAAATGGCTGAAACTAGGCACAAAACTTTCTCACAGCCAGGTTGGTGACAACAGCTTTGAAACACCTGCCATTTCCTTACAGCCTTTCTTTAGCCATAACAACAATCCAATTAAAAGCAAATTCATCACCCTCTTTCTCTGCAGCTAGAACTGCAGAGAATTCTCTTTGTTTCCTAACACAAACCATTTAATTTCAATATAAAATGACACTATTCACAAAATATTAATCAGAGTAAACTATTCCCCTAAACTTCAGTTGTCCAGACTTTAGTAGGATAATAATAGGCTAAAATAACCCTTCTCAAGTGAATGTCCCATGAATGTCCCAGGCTTTTTCATTATTTCCAAAGTACGCAGGATGCAGAATATATGTCCCCTGTGTCCCACATGCATCCTTTTTCCTGGATGCATGTCATATATCCAAAGGCACTGGAGCGGTTAAATCAACATGCTGTGCATTCTCTCTCAAAAGACTGAAGGAAGTGCTATTGAGGACAGACTGGCTGCTCTCTCAATGCCCATGTCATATGCAAGGCATTTTGAAGTCTTCTAACACAAGAATAGTAGCCTTGTGTGTGACAGATAGAACTAGCTTTCAGGGCAAAGCCCCTGCCCCTGCCCGTTTTTAAGGCTGATAAAGTTTATACGTAACATTTTAGCCCTTGGTTTTAGGGGAGAAATACTGCAACATTTTATTTTGTGGTGATGAAAAATTCAGTCTTAAAAAAAAAAAATCCCAGCACCACCTTACAAAAACAATCAAGTGATTTAAAGTAACTGGAGAGTCTCAGATGTTAGATTGTTGCAATCTGAAAGTTAATAGGGGAATCTGGGCACCATTGCACTGAGCAATCTCAGCTTAACTTCAAATGCTCTCCAAACTGTACTCTGCTGATTGTAAAGTGTGCTGCACTGAGTTATGTCCAATACCACATTCACTTCCAGGCTGAAGTGCACTTGAAAATCTGGAAGTCTGAGGGAGTGCAGAGCTAAGTTATTTAAATGATCTGCTTCTCTTACAATTTGAAACAGCTCTTCAGTTTTGAAATGATTAGGGTCCCAAGCCTGTACCGTTCCAACTGATTTGAAATGATTCTGGTAGAGGCTTTTTAATATACAGTAAGTACTTCATTGTGAATAAAGTCAAGCAATGGCCTATTACAAGAGTTCTAGGTATTTGAAGCCAAGTTAAAATTTAACATCAAGGGTTTAGGGGAAGATTTGATTAGTTGATGCCTGAGCTAACAACTATAGCTAGCAGTCACTGACCATTCAGGCAACTCAGTCTTGTCCCATCAAAGAACTTCAGGCCTCCAAACTTTGCTTGGTCCCAAATGCTTGTATTCAATACACCCCCTTGACTCCTGGGGCACTGAGTATCCAACAGTATCTATCCCACTGCTCAGAACTAAGTCCTAAACACAAAAAGGTTATAGACATCTACCTTCATGCCTAAAACCTGGCAGAATTCAAAAGACAGGCAGAAATTCTCCTGCCAGAAGTTAACAGGTCACTGGGAGAGACAGAGACTCTGAGAAGACCTCTAATTTATTGCCTATAGGCAGGGAAGAGGCAACCTTATTAGTGCTCCTGGCTCCAGGAACTGTGTAATACAGTACAGGAGGAGGGAGGCATCTCTTGTTGTTAGGGAGAACATCTCTTCACGTAGATGTGCTCTCTCGGAATCAGCAAATCTTTACGTACTTCTTGAAAACTGGAACTATGTCAACAGCAGTCCTCTCCTGGAGTGCCTGGAGGCTGATGGCTTGAGTGTTCAGCTGCATGCCATAGCTTTAAACCCCTTGCAAAAGCAAACTGTAATCCCAGACCTGCCACATGCCAGGGGGTGTTTGCTCACAAGCTGATAGAGGAAAAAAGAATAACCTTCCTCCATCAGTGTTTTGTGAGAAAGGAGCAGTGCAAACAAGGAAGGTGGGCTAAGCAGCAGAGAAGCAGAAGGGTTGGAGTTTTTAGTACTGACTCTGTGTCAGTGCAGAGGTCCAGGAAAGAGAGAGAGAGCTCAAGGCATTTTCCTCCCTTTGACAGTTCTCTGCAGTGGCCTCTGGAGAGGAAAAAAAACATACAAACAGAATTGCAACAACGAGCACCCCTCTGTGGTGCCTAAGTACGTTTGTAAATCAAGCTCTAAATGTACCAATCTTCTTCTCTAAGTAAGGTGATAGAAATAAATTATGTAGAAGACTACCTTGGAAACTGCATGACACATTTTAATGGCATTTTAAGCTCACCTTCATTAATCACTTTGTGATGTATTTTGTTTTCTTTCCAACGTCTTTTGAAACTTTGCTTTCTGTAAAATGCAAAATTGTGCATACAATACGCATTCTAAATGTCACAGGGACTGCTCAGAGTTGAAGTTCAACCATATCAACTGCTATTAACAATTGGAACCTGAAGGTACCAAAATGTAGCGGTGGTAAGACTCAGCTCTTCTGTACCGTGTTATCCAGAGGAATCATTGCAGAAGGCAGTAGTTCTAGTACAGCTGTGTCACCAAATAGATAGGAATTCTTACGCTTTTTAGAGGCTTATGCTTATAGCATCCAACTGCCTGTGTAATTTCCAGTGAACTTAGTATGTCCTCTCCACAGAGGTCTTCAAGTGTTAACATGACCAGAGGTAACCCATTTTTCTCAGATCCAGTCTCCTCCAGCTGAGATGATAGTAATACAAATCTTTAACAACTAGCTTTTTGTTTTGGCCTTCTTGTCCTTTTTGTTTCAAGAATTTGTATTTCACTTTGAAATGGACTGTGGAAAGAGCTGGTGATGAAATACAGTACTTTTGAAGATGAACCTCAAATGCATTTCCCTGCAATTATTTGACATTTAACTTTATGCACATACGATAAACAAACATCTGGTATTTATTTTAGAGGATGCAAGTGATTTTGTAAGTTATTGCATGCTTTATGGCTGTGATCCGAGATAGGCAGCTGACTCCAAACCTGAAATCTTAACATTTCATTTCCATGACCAGAGTTTCAGCTGTGACTAACTGCAGTATGTTACTTGTTCTTTTTTCAAATTTTGTTCACTTTCATTCAGATTAAAAAGCATATTTCTCTTGGAAAATGATGCCTTAGGGCCTTATCCAAAAACATAGCCTTTGATAATTGCCTGTGCTGCAATGTGACCGCTTTTATTCCTAAGTACAAGACTGGGAGCAGACTTGCCTATAGGAATGGGCCCATAACTTACAAGAAATGAGGAACATCTCAAGTGTGTATTGTTTTCCAGGAAAGAAATGTTCATGTAAAAAAAGCCCCAATTGTTCCTACTTCTAAAATTGATTTTTTTCCTGTGAGAGCATATTGCAAGATGCTACCTGTTTCTACATATGAATTACTTCCTATTTATTCTGCAATATCTTTTAGCACCCAGGAAAATATTTTTATTACTGTCTTAATGTCTCCAAAAAATGTGGGTGGGTGACGCATTTTTAAGACATAGATATGCAAGGGGTGGCATACGCATTTTGTTAGAGATCAGTTAAGGAGAAAGAAAAAAAATAACATTTAGCTCTGCACAATGTATCATGTAGCAAATCTTAGCAAACTGCTGGGTAAAGAACAACACACAACATACATGACTTGA